CACTTTCTCATTTTTCAGCCGGCAACCCACAGCCATTGGATATCATGTTGAAGTGCATCAGTTCGATGTGTTCACTAATCCCCCAGAGCAGGAATCTTCTCAGAATTCTAGTAGAAATGCTGTACCACCAAATACAACTTCTTCTTCTTCTCCTGCTTTGTCCAATGGTCCCGTTCCCCAAACTATCGTAAGGCCTCCCATACGAAGTGGTTTTGGACAAAGTAGAGTGCGGCAAGCAGGTTTGTGCGAATAAATGGTTTTTCAATACATTATGGAACGGAGGAAATTTCTAGGTCCTCCTGGACATTTTCCGTTCATGATGGGAAACATGAATTTCCCTACCGATCTGCACGTCACTGCCCCTCGTCAGGAGGTATAATCTTCATAATCAATCGCTAGAATTGACTAAATATACAGTATACATATGAATCTTAAAGATAGTGAATGTCGATCCATTTCTGTCATGTAATAGCCGCTTCACTGATGTGCAGCGTGTTTTGCGGAGCAACAACCCAGGCGCCGCCGCCCATCTATCACCGTTCCGTCGTTTCATGCGTGTAAGTTTTTCTTTCCTAGATTTCAATTTCCGGGGAACCTGGTAAGCGCAAACTATATTTGTTGATCTGTTCGGCAAGTACGCATTCATTCAGTTTTTTACTATCTGTCAGCTGTTGATTTCTTGGCGGATAGCCGTATGATGCTGTTTTTCATTTCTCACTACTGATCAGGTTCACTACACAAAAAATCATCTAATGATTGTTATGTGCATTACATCCTCATTGAAAACTCACTGTGGGAAGTTAAGCGTCAAATTCAATGTCCATTATAATTTTTTAGCTTTTCGAGGTCGTGCAAGCAGTTTGTAACTAATTGTAAATCTTCCTTGTCTTGGCTCGCCAAGCTGCATGAGACAATTCGATTGCCTCACTTTTAAAGCCATAAATCGCTTTCCAAAGTTTTTTTCGGGTCGAAGATATCAATCAACACATTGTTTAAGGTTTTCTATTGAACTTTTTGATCACTGCATTGATCATAGTTGGGCACAGAGACATAGAAGACAACTAGCTAACTTAATATAGCTCAAACATTGTTTACACGGCAGGCTTTGCTAAGTGCAGTTGATGCAATGTGTGTTGAGCGTTTTCTTATATAGTTGGTCTTCTGTCATGATTTTGTGTCCCAATCTTCAGTGAACTTATCAGATTTTTCTTCTGCAGAACATTGGATGTTCGCCGAACAACATTGTTGCTGTGTATGGCTTGCTCCTCACATATTAATTTATAGAGTGTAGATCTCCCACCAAGCAATTCGAATCGACGAGTTACCCCCATCGACGGTTATGAACGGGTTATGGTATGTGCTTGGCAGTCATAGATTTAGAGGTTTCCTTCTATTGGTCTCGTTATAGTTAGAACTCAACGCATCTGGTGATGTTCTGATGGCTGATGAGAGCAATTTTGAAAATTTTCTGCAGCTTACTGTACGATCCGCGCTTAGTCAAATGGCCCACGCTGATCAGGATAGGAATTCTCGTATGTGTTTTTATTTTTTAAATCTATTTTATACTAGCTTGCATACTCGGTTACAGCCGCTGATCTGAATTTCAGGCCATCAGTTTTCTTACCTTTATAATTAAATACTCAGAAGGATTCGGATTTTGATTTCCCGAGTTTAATTGAATTTAGGCTTCAATGAATGGCTATCATATTCTTATTCAG